AAGGGAGAACTTCCCCTTCAACTCTTGAAGGCTTGCTGAAAATCACTGATGAGAGGCAGATTCATAGGAGAAAAGGCATCCACATTTATTACTCTGTATGCAGGAGCCTTCAGAGTGAAGATGCAGAGACACAGGGGAAATTCTCCATTTTTATGCTTAGGCTTAACTAAATAAGTACAGTTGTATAGAAATAGGATTGGACAGAAAGCGTATGATCTAACGTTAATAGGCTCAGTGGCAGAACCCTGCAAGGCCTGTCTGTCTCGATTCTTCTTGGCCTCTCTGAGCAAGCCTTCCTTCCTTCCTTCTGGGTGTGGGACAGGACCCTCTCAGGAATGAAGGTCTTATGACCTACAGTCAAACAGAATAAGTCAGATAATTTCTTTTTTCTTTTCTTTTCTTTCTTTTTTTAGAGATAAAGTTTTTGCTCTTGTTGCCCAGGCTGGAGTGCAGTGGCTCAATCTTGGCTCACCACAACCTCCACCTCCAGGGTTCAAGCAATTCTCCTGCCTCAGCCTCCCAAGTAGGTGGGATTACAGGCATGCATCACCATGTCTGGCTAATTTTGTATTTATTTTATTTTTTTAGTAGAGACGGGGTTTCTCCATGTTGGTCAGGCTGGATCTGCCTGATCCAACCTGATCTGCCCAAATCAGCCCAGATAATATCTTTATGGCCAGTGTTTGTACAGAGAGGTGGAAGGAAAGTTAGAGTAATGTTTTTAGGTTTTATGGCCTGCTTTGGGGAAAAGGAGTTGTGGTTTCTATGACCCACCTTGGGGGAGAGGGATTTTAGTTTCTATGGCTAGTCTTGGGTAAGAGTGAGTCTGAAAGACAGAAGGGCAGAAGTTCAGAGAAAAACATCTGCTTCTGAGGCTGCTTTTGGGGCCTTCATTTTGGGGTATTGTTTTCTGAGTCCCAGAACCTGCATCATTAAAACTAAGGGAGTATCAGGGCTATCAGATTGCCCCAGGGATTGAGGAATTGTGACAGAAGTAATGCAGGCAGGGGCAGGAATACTTACTAATCCACTGATACGATGTTTGTGAATGACTTTAAAATAATCCAACTGGCATGGAGCAGTAGGAATAAGGGGATTTATAAATAAAATTGGCTGTTATGAATTTTTGAAGCTGGATTTAAGGTACATGAGATTGATTTGACAATTTCCTCTGCTTTTGTGTATGTTTGACATGTTTCACAAAATATAGTTAGCAGATAGTATTGGTGGGACGAAATCATAGGCAATTAATAACTGCGAGCTTCCATAATACAAAGTGTATCCTTTCCTTGCAGATGCAAAGTATAAACTAATCACGAATTCCATGAACAAAAGTAACAAATCTATCATCAGAATTAAAGATTTAATACAATTCTAGATAATGCCTACATTGAGAGAAATCAAGACTACAAAATGAAATAACTAAAAATCGGTATCTATGTGTCTGTCCATCTGTCTACATCTGTCTCAACAAATAGTGCATTTATTTGCAGTATACTTAAGTTGGAAGAACAAATAGATTTTATCTCTCCTGTTCATATGTTTTGACTGGCACTGAGGCCCATCCTTCTCAGTAGAAAGCTTGTTTGAACAGAGAAGCAATATCTGCTCTATCAAGACTCCAATGGCATTTTTGTATTTAATGTGACAAAGTGATTTCTCATTTGTCAGGAGGAAAAACAGACAAGAATTATCAAGGACATCTTGAACAACAGAGAGTCAGAATTTACTTTGGTGTACATGAAAATATACTATCACATGATAATAACATAATTGGGCCAATGTAGAAAGGAATCAACATATTTAGAATATTATAATGATGGCATTTCAAATCATTAGGCAAAAGATAGATTCTTTAATAAGTATTGTTTGTTGCAGGAAACCTCAGGAATTACAAACATAAGTGTTTTGTGTAATATGCTATGTTATGTTGAATATAATTGCTTTGTTTGTAAGAAAACCACAGGAAGGGCTTAGGGTATTTTTATACTATCTCATAGCCGTTTAATTGTGTTTATGACAACATCCTAATTCACCTGAAGATTTTGACCAAGGTTATTTTCTTACAGACTTGTAGATAAACAATAATAAAACACAGAAACTTAACATGGCATTTATTAGGTGCCAGGCACTTTTCTAAGCTGTTGAGGTATATTAACACATTTAATCATCACAAAATTGCGAAGGGTAATATTCTCCGTTCAATACACGAGGAATCTGCGGTGCAGGGCTGCTAGTTAGACTTCACCATCAGAAACCCAGCAAGTAGGGGAGCGGGAATGGCAGTCTGGCTCCTGAGTGTACCTCACAACCTCTCCTGGGACTGAGCTCTCTGTGCACATCTCTGACTTGCCCTTTTGCTTTTCTCAGGGACCTGATGCCCAGAACCCTGGAGGGGCAGATCACCATGGAGAAGACGCCCAGCTACTTCGTCACGCGGGAGGCACCCGCGCGCATCTCGGCCATGTCCAAGCACACCAAGCTCATCGTGGTGGTGCGGGACCCGGTGACCAGGGCCATCTCGGACTACACGCAGACGCTGTCCAAGCGGCCCGACATCCCCACCTTCGAGAGCTTGACGTTCAAAAACAGGACCACGGGCCTCATCGACACGTCGTGGAGCGCCATCCAGATCGGCATCTACGCCAAGCACCTGGAGCACTGGCTGCGCCACTTCCCCATCCGCCAGATGCTCTTCGTGAGCGGCGAGCGGCTCATCAGCGACCCGGCCGGCGAGCTGGGCCGCGTGCAGGACTTCCTGGGCCTCAAGAGGATCATCACAGACAAGCACTTCTACTTCAACAAGACCAAGGGCTTCCCCTGCCTGAAGAAGGCGGAGGGCAGCAGCCGGCCCCACTGCCTGGGCAAGACCAAGGGCAGGACCCACCCCGAGATCGACCGCGAGGTGGTGCGCAGGCTGCGCGAGTTCTACCGGCCTTTCAACCTCAAGTTCTACCAGATGACCGGGCACGACTTCGGCTGGGATGGATAACCATATAATTTAAAAAGAAAAAAAAAAATCAAAATATAATATATATTTTTTTACCAATCGGTAGAGAAGAAGAGGGAGTTTAATATTTGTGCTGAAAATATGTTTCAGTATTTTTTTTTCAATGAATGTTAAGAGATTGTTCTCACCCCCACCCCATCTTAATGTATAACCAACACCAAACATTTGGATCAACAAAAGGAAAATTTCACTGTCTAAAGACTTTCAATTTTCAGTTTTCATTTTATGTTCTATATACCCATAAAGTATAAGCATCAGTTGTCATTAAAAGTTTTCAGAAAATCCTGAGGATAAACATCTCTCTCTCTCTTCTAATACAAGACCCTGATAAAATTGATAGCTAACCTCATATTTTTCTCCTCGTTTTCCTGTCTACTTTTTCTTAAATTATTTACCAGTTAGTATAATATGTTTGTACCCACTTCACAGTTTTCATAGTATTTTCTAATACACCTTTTTAGTCACTTAAAAAAATATTGCCCTGTTATATAAGAGCACAGTAAGTAGACATTATTATACCCTTTTTACAGAAAGGAAAACTGAGTCTCTGGGAGGTAGAATGATGTATCTAAAGGCTAAATGGTGGGCCCTGGACAAAATTCCATCTGCCATTTGTTCCCTATTTCAGGCCACTTTTTCCAGGGAGAATGGGAAAGAAGACCTCTGCACCTTTAGAAATGGTTAGCTAGTTTTCAGATGATCCGAAAATGGACAGAGAGGGTGTTCCCTTGTTTTCTAAGTCCCAGGCTACCCCAAAGTCTCATTACAAAGCTGTGTTCAACAAAACCACTCAGAACTGGACACAGCCTCTCTTAAGAGCCAATCTTGCCTCTTGGCTTCTTAAAGTACCCTGAGATACGGAAATCTTGACTGATGGGTGCTTGATTGAATTGGAGAGGAATTGTTGGATTCTTGCATGGAGGACAAGGTGGCCAGCCACACTAGGGGTAGCACAAGATGTGCCAGGAACATAACTTACCCATTTGTTGACTTAACCGACTTTTTTAAGAAAGAAAGACTTCAGTTAGCGCTTGCAAGTATGAGTCTAATTTGTTTTTTAATTTACCTCTTTTTAAAGAAAGAAAACCTACCTTTTGTAATGTCTCACTTCTAATTGCTAGTACTCTAAAAAAATAATTAGCCATTCGTTTACAATGCTTTTAGTTTTCATGGATGGAGGACTATCACTTTGTCACTTTATTCTCTCCCCACCTCCTATTTACACCATTGATTAACCTAATGTTCATTGATATTTGGAAAAATATTCTAGGAAATGCATTTGTGGGCAAAATGGTGGCTTTTCCTCTTCTCTCATCTGTTTCTGCCCATCCCCCATTTAAATCACTCAAATAAATCAATAGTTTATTAAGAGTATTCCTTTCCTCTCTGAGTGGGCATTAAAAAGATTAGCATTAATGGGAATTAAATTGGTTTAGAGAGGAACACATATGCATGAAATATATAAAACATTTATAATTAGTCTGTCAGCAACATTTTATTAGAAGTTTAAAACCAAGAGGAAAAATGTCTTCTATTTCATGGAAGTCTTCTTTATCTCCCAAATTGTAAAGGACCAGACTCTCTAAAATAATATTCTAAAATAATATTCTTTTTCTTCTCTAATGTTGTCAATCAAAAGAAACTAAAATTGTTTTAAAATATGCAGTACAATCATGCATTTACCATAGATGCTGCATCAGGTGATGTAAATAGTTCTTGAGAAGCTTAACATAGGATTAAAATGAAGGAAAACATCTTTTAAGTGTTAGATATTTTGTCATTTCTCCAGATCTTTTGATTTATCTGTTAATATCCCATTTACAGGAGTTAAGTAAATCCAAAATCCAGATCACCTTTTTTCAGTTGATTTCCTTCATGTCTATGCCCTCAATCTCTCAATGTCTCTGACTGTTTTTATTCTACTTGAATCCCAAGCTGCAACAAGATACTCATTTTAAATGCTTATCATCATTTCTCTTAGCTCATGTTGTTTGTACAACTGATTCTTTTGTAAGTGTTTGCTTGGCATTATGCAAAAGTGGCTTGCACAAAGAAACGATTGCATTCTGCAACCTTCACTTTTTTAATGTGAAAGAAATAATTAAAGAGCAGAACTGAATGCAAAGGATCTCTTTTTGAACACAGATATTTTTGTTCATATTATTTTAAAAATTAATGACTACAGAAAACTCCAGGAAAACCTTCAAAATTCTAGAACTTCCTAAGAGTGTTAGAAGTAGTAAGTCCTAGCAAAATGTATGAAGATTAAGAGTCAGTATTCTCTAGCAGGAATAGCCATTCATTTCTGCCTCTATAAGGTACTCATCCCTGCTGTGCATAAATTTGGTTTCACATTTTTTGTCTGTTTAGCTACACCAAATAATAGGCTTTGATCATGATTGGAATATCTGAGCGTCCATTTTCTGAGCTGTCTGCTCCAAAGTCACGCCTCCCAATCCCCTTCCCTTTTCTTGAAGTAATGTGTTGTCTTTCAAGAAGAATATCTAGAAAATATCTACAGCTTCGTTTTGAGCAGTTTGCTTTCAAGATCACATCTACAGTGTATCCATTCTCCAGAGAACATAGTCACTTCTAGGGCAACTAAGTTTATTTCAATAAATAGAGATTAATATACTTCTAGAGAATGGATATCGATTATTCTAGAAATATTAATCCCATTCTAATTTTCTTATTTTCGAAAGATCTTCAAAGCTGAAATCAACTTCAGTGGTCATTTGGATCAAATCCCTGTTCAGCACCTGAATCCTTTTGTTAACTTGTTATACAGGAGTTTAAAACATTGATGTGTCTGTAAATTCTTAACTGTTGACATTACAGTTGAAAAGGGGATACATTTTTCCTAAACAGTCTCATCGTATTCTGCCACCTGAGACGGGACCTGCTCCCCATGAAGATACCTTAAATTCAATATGTGAATAAATAAATCTGTCTACAAAATAATAATGCCTTATATTCATATTGCAGACTGCCCTTTCAAATGCGTTATTTTACCTTATACCAACAACAGCAGCTTTGTGCACTCATTAGTTTTATTTTATAGATGTTTCACTCAGTCTCACTAGGGCTTAAGCCAATGCCACTCAACAAAAGGTGATTTTGCATCCCAGGGCAACGCCTGGAGATATTTTTGGTTGTCTCAAGGGTAGAGGAGTGCTCCTAGCATCCCGGGTAGAGGTGCCACTAGCATCCTGGGTAGAGGCCAGGGGTGCTGCTAAACATTCTGTAATGCACAGGAAAGTATAACCAAAAATGATCTCAACCAAAATGTCAGTCATGCTGCAGTTCCCAGGTTAAGAAGTGTATCAGTCACAACTAGGGTGTGCCTCCAGTCTAAAAGCCAGATTCTAACTAATGCTGGATTGGTAATTCTTTCAGTCACCATTCTAGTTTTTCTCTTGCAAATGTTTCTTTTTTCTTTTCTTGTCTATTCTTTTTTTTTATTTTTTTTGAGACGGAGTTTCACTCATGTTACCCAGGCTGGAGTGAAAATGGCGCGATCTCGGCTCACCGCAACCTCCGCCTCCTGGGTTCAGGCAATTCTCCTGCCTCAGCCTCCTGAGTAGCTGGGATTACAGGCATGCACCACCATGCCCAGCTAATTTTTTGTATTTTTAGTAGAGATGGGGTTTCACCATGTTGACCAGGATGGTCTTGATCTCTTGACCTCGTGATCCACCCACCTCGGCCTCCCAAAGTGCTGGGATTACAGGCTTGAGCCACCGCGCCCGGCCTTCTTGTCTATTCTTTTCTACTCTCTTCTTTTCTTTCTCCCTTCCTTCCTTCTCTTTCTTTCCTTCCTTCCTTCCTTCCTCTTTCCTTCCTCCTTCCTTCCTTCCTTCCTCTTTCCTTCCTCCTTCCTTACTTCCTCTTTTCTTCCTCCTTCCTTTCTTCCTCTTTCCTTCCTCCTTCCTTCCTTCCTTCCTCTTTCCTTCATCCTTCCTTCCTTCCTGCTTCCCTCCTCCCTCCTTCCTTTCTTTCCCTTCCTTCCTTCCTTCCTTCCTTCCTTCCTTCCTTCCTTCCTTCCTTTCCTTCTTTCTTTCTTTCTTCTTTCTTTTCTTCCAATAAGCAGATTGCTGTTTACTGTTGTGCTTTGCTGGAAAAACTGCTAAAGGGAACCAAACTGGGTTTTTATAATGAAGACACAGGAGCAGCTTGTAACAAATAGATAATTGCAATTGTGAGAAATGGAATCAGTCAGCTTCAGGTGGAAAATAACATTCCAATACAACATTTCTAAAGGCTCTCTCAAGTTCAAGTCTTGCAGTTTCTAGTTGCTTCCACCACAGGGCCGCGACTGTATTTCTTGTCACCTGACAAAACCAAAGTGCCTAGAGAGAGAAGTAAATGTCTCCATTTCTGTTAAACAGCTAAATTCAGATGGATGTGCTATGATTACAAATAGCCTCGAGTTGCTGAATAATAGCAAAGGAAAGCAAATTCCTATTGCCTCATATCCTAGAAGCCCCAGAACTTTGTGCATAATTTCGATAGAATCAGAGAACAGAAGAATGTAGGCTTCTCAAACACAGGAAAAGTGTTGCTGGGATTCATTCCAATATAAGCCTTCGTATAGGAAAAAGAAAAGAAAAAAAAAAAGACCCTACTTATGCTCTTACTGTATCCTGTAATCATTGAAGAAGAGTGGAATTTTTAAAACCCAAACCTCAAGCCCTGCTGGTGAGACATCAATGTTCTTGCAGAATTTGTGGTCCTTGAAATATCTTCATCAACATGCAAACAGATTTGCACTGAGTCTCAATTTTACAGAAGAAGAAGATAGATAGGAAATTTATAAATCTGTTTATTACATAATGGAATGTTGAAATGGAAGGCCTTCCTTTAAAAGCTTGAAAAAGGATGAATTTGGGGAAATTACGAGGCAGTGCAATATCACACATGAAATCATAAAATAATAAATTTTAGTTATGCTGGGAGGAAATAAAACCGAAAATAGAAATTGCTTCTAATATATGGTTCCATTGTGGGATATTAGAAAATGTTAGTATGTTTCAGGCTATAGCCCAAATTTTTTAGTTTAATTTCCAACTGTTGGTTGTGTTTTTTTAATAGCAATATACGCAACAACTTACTCTCTTCTAGTTTTACTGTGAAAATAAAAGGCAATGCTGAATGGGGAACACACATTCCGTTATGAGTCCTTTTCACTTTAAAGTATCTGGGTATGATATTTTAATTACCTTTGAAGGATCAGATATGATGAGATCTGGTGTCCTTCATTAGATCTGACTGGATGATACATGACTAGGCTAGATTTTGAACTTGGTGCTAACTTTGATTATTCCTAAGAGTGCTTCTGTATAATTAATTATCTGGTCTGTACGTTGACCATTAGGTCTCTCTCAAAGTAATTTTATAGTAAACCAGATCATTTCCACCCCACTAGGGGAGCTGCTTTCATTGCAAATAGGAGTAATGAGTCTTTCCCCCTCCCGTCTTCCATCTCCGTGCTTCCCTCAGTTGTCACAGGCAGGTGACAACTTCTGCCACATCCTGCCTGTTACAACTGATCTTCGACATCTGATTCTTCCCTTTCTTCAGATGTGATGTACCCGAGAATGTCCATTTCCTACGTCCGATTCTTGGGAAAAAAAACCTGCAGTCCACCTAGGGCAATCGTGCTCAGCTTCAGCTCTAGGCAAAACGGTCTGAATGTCTGATATAGACACCTAGAGAGATGAAAGTCACACAGACTTAACTTTCCCCAAGAGGATTTGCATTAGGAAAACAGTGGGGGCGAGGTGCGAAGGAGGATGGATGGGACTGAATATGAAAGGCTGGCGGCACGTTTGACATAGGAGATGGGGGCGTCGCTGAAAGGATGCGTACCTGGCTTCCAGTACCCCAACCCTCACTGCAGACCTGAAGAATCAGGAACAGCAGTGTGTGGCCTTCCACTCCTGAAAGATTATCTGCCTCTCTCTGGGCAGTGTCATTCTTCTCCCACCTGTTTTCCCAGAGAAAGCCTTATCTAAGCTCAGATTTCTTTATTTCAGTCCTGCAACAGCTGGTCAACCAGGGAACTGCAGGAAGCAAGGAAACTTTATAGTCATTTCACTGCAATTTTTCAGAGGCAACAAGAGTTTTTGATTAAGTGCTATCAACTGATACCTTTATAGTCAAGCCTAATTTTTATTTCAGACTACTTGATCTTATTTCTAAATCCCAAATCAGTTGTTCTTCATTATAAAAAGTCCAACTAAATATCCTATAATGGTAATACCTTACCTTTATATAGAATGATTCAAAGCATGTTTATATCAAAGAGGGTATAGACTTTAGACTTCAATCATTTTTTTTTCTTTTCTTTTTCCTTTCTTTCTAGATTAAAAAAATAAAAACATTTATATGGTCTATTGTAGTTCATTCCCACCTTGGACAAATCCCACATTTCTCCTTAGCTGAATTCGTTATAAGAGTCTTTTCAGCATCTTTCTTTCTAACTTCTTGATTTTATCTTGTTCCTCATCTGAGTAAACTTTTACTTTTCAATATTTTCCTGTGTCAAAATCTTTATTGCAAAAATTATTTTACATATTTTTTATTCCTCCTTTCTTTTCCTCAAGACCCCTAATTGTGTTTTTTATTCCCCGCTTTTATAACTATCTGGCCTCAAAATTATAAATTACTTTTCTTTCTCTCTTTTTTTTTTTTTTTTT